AAAGCTTTTCATTTCTTTAGATATCCATTGCCTCTTCAAAGGCATTACACTATCTCTTTCAGGATAGTCATAATTTAGAGAATGCGGATCATAACCTCCTCTTGAGCGTTATAGAGCTTGGATTTTAATCTCCACTTCTGGGAGTTGAGTCATTGGAACCTATATGTCTATCATGCTCCGTTCATGAGACATTAACATTCCCATGTCCGTGGATTGTCCTTTCTGGGATGTGTATCCATGCGGCGACTGTCATGCTTCTGGCATGCAATAGTTATGCTTCGGGAACGCAATAGTTCAGTAGTGCCATATTTTTTTTCCCAATGAATGAACCTTTTGAGTCTAAGGGTCTGCCACGCTTCAGGCATGCAATAGATAAATCATTTACTGCATCATAATTTTGTCCAACAGGGACATCAATTCTTGTAGGCACCTTTGCAACAAGTGTATATGATTTCATCACTTTCGTTGCATCATTCAATTATTCTTACTTCATTTTCTCATTGATTGCTTCATGAATCATAAGACAAATTCTCTTTGTTCTTCTAGAACGGTATTTTCTCATCATTCTTCTGGAATGATATTTTCTCATCGTTCTTTTGGAATGATATTTTCTCCCCCTAATGGCGGGAAAATTGTCTTAACAAAATGACAATCCGCAAACCATGCGGTAAACATATCCCTAGTTAAGGGTTCCAAATATTGAATGATAGATGGTGATCAACATCAATGCCCAATCAGTGATGATGCCTCATTTCAGTACGTTGTGGCAGTGCAATAGGCACATAGATAACATAATCAAAAACTCGTAAATGTGTAATGTTTGGCTGGTGCCTAAACACGAGTTATACTGAGAAATATCGATGGTTGGTAACTGGTCTTAACCAAACTTAATAGTGAATTATGTAAAATGACATGTCCCTATGTCAAAACTGGCAATTTCATTTTCATGAATAGAACGCGGTTAATCAATTTCATCCTCTTAATAAATGCTTATGCTAAACCATTTTGAGTATGGACATAAGGAACTTCTGGTCCTTATTAAATAGTCTGTAGACTGAGACTCTTATGGCTTTTATTACAATTAAGTTGAGGCACTGCGGCACTTCAAACTTACGATATTCATCAAGGAATTTCATGTCCTGATCTTCAGGATCAAGGGACTTCATACCTGATCTTTTTGCGTGATGGAACTTCCAATCATTTTATATGATGAGGATCAAGAAACTTCAGGTTCTGATCTGATCAAGGAACTTTGGGCCCTATATATACTTATCGTAACAAAAGGTAAGTACAATAAATAAATTAAAGCAATAGGCGGTAATTCCAGCCATAGTAAATAAATTGCATTTAAGTAAATAAAGCTTGTGACAAGGGCTTTAATTGAGCACCATTCACATAAATCAAAACTTAAAGCAGTAGACGGTAAAATCGTCCATGGTAAATAAATTGATTTAAAGTAAATAGAACTTGTGTTAGTGTTTTAAGCCAACACCATTCACATAAATAAAAACTTAAAGCAATAGGCGGTAAAACCGTCCATGATAAATAAATTTCTTTAAAGTAAATAGAACTTGTGAAAGGATTTTAAACCAACACCATTCACATAAATAAATTGCAGTAAAGAGCTTGTAATGTTGTGGTTGGTGGAGTTTGACAATTCCACTTACGGATGTGTTCGAAATTTGTTGCCATCACAACAACCTTTATGTCCCCTTTTTGTTTTATTATTTCTTCTCATTCATTCACATGTTGTACTATTCCAAAAACTTTTCATTTTATTCCTTTTATTTTATTATCTAGATGGTGCAGATGCACCAGGCACCAAAACCTTTTGTTTCTTTCTTTTTCAAATGGTGCCATGCACTATTGACTTTTTCAGATGGTGCCATACATATTCCATAAACTTCCTTTTTTTTTTCTTTGCTTGTCTCTACCAGTCTCGAAACCCAGGACCAGCTGGGTTGTTGTGAAGGTCACACAAAACTAATTCAATCCAAAAAGGCTACTAGAGATTGGTGTTGTTCTTACATGACCCAGGGAACATGGCATTGTGAAGCAAGAACCTCCATACAGAGATATAGATGATAGCGAGGTTGATGGAGGCACAAGAAAGGGAGGCTTATGTGGATTCATTTTTGCCATCACCATCTCAGACAATCAAGTATTCATGGGAGTTCTCGAGATCTGTCGAAAATGATGTGATTTGGGTTTCCAAGTCTGATGAGATTCTTCTGGATCTCTGGAAACCAGTTGTCAAGTACAAGTTTTCTCATCTCGTGACGACTTCAGGTCGTTTTAAATTTCAATTATTACCAGAATTCGATAGGGCGCTTCAGGTGCGGAGGGATAGACAGAAAATGGACATACCTTTTGTTCTGTGAGATTTTAGCTGACGAAGGTGAGAGGTAGATAGTGTTTTCCACTGACATGAGAGCTTCTTGTGCTGATAACGTGTTATAAAATCAACGGTGTGTGCAGTGGAATAAATAAATAAGACACAAAATTTACGAGGTTCCTCTACAGTCAGTGTGACTGGAGTACGTCCTAGGGGCAGCAGTGGTGCTTTCATTATAATTTGGAATAATATGAGTACAAAGATAACTCTCTCTATTATCTCCTCTCCTCTTCCTCTCTTTTCTCTCTTCCTCTCTTTCCTTTCTCATCCTTTCTTCCTTCCTATCTCTCCCGTATGTCTCATAACCTTCTTCATCTCTCATTCATTTTATAAACAAAAGAGAACACTATTCACTTTACAAATTTTCCACAAATGAATAGTGAAAATACTATGTATTGATGCACAAAATCAGTGAGGACTTTGGTACAACAAAAAGTGTTAATATTGTGACATTCGCTAGATTGCTCCGGTCATTAGTATGGATAAGTATATATATGAATAGAGATAGGGAAGCAAGCACAAGATATACGTGATTCACCCAGATTGGCTACGTCCACGGAGTAGAGGAGTTCTCATTAATTGTGAAGGGTTTACACAAGTACATAGGTTCAAACTCTCCTTTAGTGAGTACTAGTGAATGATTTAGTACAAATGACATTAGGAAATATTATGAGAGAATGATCACTATTTATAGAAGAGAGTTTCTAGTTTCATTCTGACATTGACACGTGTCGTGTTGTGATTGGCTTCTAATGTCGACACATGTTGCGCTGTGATTGGCCTTCTGATTTGAGGGAAACTCTTCTTAGTCCTTGACTGTATAACTTTGACTAGTGCTCAGTAGTTTCGAGATTTGTCAAGTATGGTACAAACACTGTGCATAAATAGTAACAAACTATTCATATGGGTCATCCACATATTATTCACAACATGTTTCTGTTTATTTCTTTTAAAAATGATTGCTTACCTTTTGGCGTTTCTTCTTTGAATCTGTCTCCCAATTTGGCTTAGTTTCTTTTGGGAGCTTTGTGCTACTCAGTTTTATATAAGTTGGACTTGTTTATACGATAGAGGAAGTGTTGGGAGCTTTGTGCTAATCAATTTTATGTAAGTCAAGAAATGACTTGTGCAGAGTACACTATTTTTTCTTTTTCTTTTTTTCTTCTTCTTTTTTTTTTTTTTTTTTTTTGTAACTGACTGTGTTGGAGCACATTATTTGAAGAATGAATCAATGAGATTCTTATCTGAATAGACATAGCTCTAAGGAAATACACATGTGATATATTTTCACTTCAAGAAGTAAAAGATGAACGTTAGGTAGACATTTACACAATCAACTGAGGTAGACATTTACATAACAAGTTATGGTTTACAAAAAAACCTCTAACTTTACATGCCCTAACTCATGCATTCTCTAGTGAGTCCCTAATACATTTGGATTTAACTAACCCAAAAAGCAATAGCTGCCCATCAGGAAATCTAATGATGACAAAAAAAAAACCCCCAAAAACAATAGCTGCACATCTAGGAATCCTACCCAAAAAAACAATAACTGCACATCTGGAATCTACCCAAAAAAATCCAGTGATGACCCAAAAACCCAAAATAATAGCCATCTATTTAAGCATGACTATTCCTAGTGATATTTTGATGAAGAAAAGGTTGGGAACTTGACGGCTGAGATTCTTCACAAGGCAGCCAAGGCATTGGGTTCGGCATATGTGTATTATGTGGTTGTAACTACATTCAACAACTATAATGAGATAAATATATATATATATACATATATATATATATATACATATATATATATATATGTATATATATATATGATAGATATCAAACAAAGAGTGAAAATTGCAAATAAATGACAAACCTAAACAAGATGATATGGAATTGGCATATAGGTATTATTGCCAAACATGTGAACTGGGACATGTATATCACATACCAATTTCAAGTTTATATTTGTCAACTAATCAAGCCTTGCTATGAAGATTAAAAAAACATTCAAAAGTACTTCACTTGTGATGAATGAGAGGGTGGCAGCGGATAAGGACTAAAGACATTGATACCATCAGTATGTTGTGGAATTATTAAGAGTGGTTCGGGTCGGGATCCCGAACCGAAACCCAAAGCCCGAATCCCAAACAAACTCTCTTTGGGATGAGATTCTAAAACCTGAAACCGTAGCTGAATTTTGGTATTCCCGAATTTCGAGAATCCCGAAATTGTTTCGGTTTTTCGGTTCGGGATCGAGAATGGATGCAATTAGAAGATATCAACCTAATTTAGGAAGATCAAATGAATGCAGTCCCCAAATAACAAATTTCCAGTCCCCCATTCCCAAATTTGAAGACAACCCATCAAAAATCAAACAGTCAAGGATCGAAGAAGCCGTCGATCAAAATTCAAAAGCAGAAAAATACAAAGCAATGAAGCATGCAGTAACTGAAATTAGGGGATTTTCAAAACAAAAATCCTAATTTTAACTCTAAATCCCTAAATTGAATGTTCAAAACCCTAATCCTTAATTTCAGAATCCAAATCCAAATCAAGGTACAATAATTTCATGAAGTTTGGCACCTTCAGATTAGAGAAGCTTCTATTTGGAGGTTGTTGGAGGTGGAACCATGGAAGTTTGGATTTGGAATATGGTGTAGTGGTCAATGACTCGACAGCCGACGTGTAGAGTTTGTGACAAAGGGAGAAGGAGGAGAGCAGATAGTGCAGTCTGTGCAGAGACGATTCAAGGGATTAGAGAAAGTGTTAAGTCCAAGGATGTTGACATAGCAGAGGATGAGATGAGAGAATGTAGAGAGATCCGAGAGGTTATTTAGAGTCTGAGTGTGAGAGAGAGATGCACAGAGATTCATTTGAGAGATAAGAGAGAGAGTTGGCTCAGTGGTTAAGTATAAGTAACTAATGGTTATTAAGCATATAAATATATTTTTTGTATTATAATTTCAACAATTTAGAGTTGGCTCAGTGGTGAAGTTCCATGATTCCTAAGAGGAGATAAGGGGTTTGAATACTTGCGGCCTCATTTTTGAGGTAATAATCTGAAATCGGTTCAGTTCGGCAATAACCAAAATTCACAAATGCTAGACCGAATACCAAACCGAACTAGGTGGTTTAGGATAATAACCGAATCGAAAATTTTCAAAAACCGAAAATTTGGGAAAATTTTAGGATAATTTCGGTTCGGGTTCGGTTAGGATCGGGATTTTCAGGATATTTTTCCAACCCTAGGAATTGTAACCTAAAACATGTCAACGATTAAACTTTAATTATATATATTAAGCACATAGGCATGATAAAGAATTATATGTGTTTAAGTACCTGATTAGACTTCTTTTTTCTTGGTAAGACTTTTTCCAAAGCACTCCTAATTCTTCGTCTTCTTCGATAAGACTTTTCTTTCTTCTTAAGCCTTTTTGGAATGATGACATCAACATTCTCCAAGTAATTGGCCATTTGGCTATTATAGTTGGTATGTCTTTTCTCATGCACATCATCATTCACTTCTAGATGTAAAAGGTCTTCAACCATTTTTGCCAATTTATTTGCTTGCTCAATCACCAGTTGGTATGCCTTTACATTTTCAGATGCCCTTGTTGATAATCTAGTGAATATAGAACACAAGGACTTATATCTAAAAGCTTGTTGCAATTTAGGCTTGACTTGAATCTCATGCCCACACATGTTTACCACACTGTCAACTTTTGCTTCTTTACTCCACCTGTTCAATATATATTATTCAAGAATTTCCTTGATAAGCATGGCTTCTCTAAGGACTTTAATAGCATGACTGCACAAAATACCTTTCATCTCAAATAGTCTACAGTTGCAAGAAACAGTACATATACCTTCCCTTTTCACCATACGTCTTAGACTTATCATCTAGTTCAACCGTGTATAAGTTATCCCCATCAGCAACACGGTTTGTTATTGACAATTCAATGGATTCTTCAAATTGATCTTGAAACAATTTGAATATTGCTTTCGTGTAAACTTCCCTAGCTTGTTTCAATAATTTGATATCAAATTTGGCATATACAATTCTGAATTGTAGGTCATACTCCGCTTCCCACTCCTTATACCTAGTATCGGTAAGAACCCTTTCAAAGTTTGTGAAAAATTTTACAATACTGAGATCTGACTTCAAATAATTTTTCATTCTTGCATTAAAACTTTCACTGATTTGTGTGCTTCGTATTCCTATAGACCATGCCAATCTCACATATGCATATGCCCATTTCTTTCTAATCTGACCAACCAGTCATTCTCATGTGCATCATACTCATCAAGCATAGAATACCAAGCAGCAACAAACTCACTTTCCTCCTTAATGTGGTCAAAAATTTTGTCAAAGCATTGTGAGTGAACTCCTTCCTCACCTCTGAACAGAGTATTCACATTTTTACAAGCACATTCTGCATCAGATGCCATAAACAAAGTCTATGGTAAGTTTGAGGCATCACTTCTAAAATAGCCATAGCTATCGCAGGATCTTGATCGGTAAAAATAGTTCTTGGAGCCTTGCTAGACATTGCCTTCAAAACTGTCTTAAATAACCAACTAAATGAAGTGGCGGTCTCATCATACATTAAAGCTGCTCCAAATACAACAATCTCTTTGTGATGATTAAAGCCAACAAACACTACAAAGGGTCGATCCAATTCATTGACTTTATAAGTTGTATCAAAGCTTACAACATCTCCAAAATGGCTATAATCAATTATCATTTTAGCATCTGCCCAAAACATGTTTGTTATTTGCTCCTCTTTGTCCAACTGTAGTTCATAGAATGATGGGTTTTCCAATATTTGTTTGGAAAAGTATTGTAGTAGGACTCCAACTTCTCCAAATGTCATTTTCTTTTGCCTCACAATTCAAAGATAATTGTTTTCATCCTGCTTAATATATCCCAAAGACTCTTCCACCTGCTTGTTTGCTTATTAACTCATAAGCCAACCTAAGTGGAATCCCTGACTTTTCAGCCAAGTCTACTTCAGTGGCTTGTGAGGCTGTCATTTTTTGTTGGGATGGTAACATATGGGCATATTCTTTCTTTATTAGGGGATGATTATGTTGTTCAACAAAAATATAAACATAAAACTTTCCTCTATGCCTATCCAACCTAACACCTATATGAGCACCACATCCAGTCCTTGTCTCTGCTCTTGGTCTTTTAATCATATCATTTCGCTTATCTACAGCTCGAAACCCTTCTTTAGCACAAGAAAACATTCTTGAAGTGAGTTCACCAGTCCTTTTATTCTTGCCACTACTTTCTCTTCGAATACTAAACCTCATAATTCCACCATACTTGTTGCAGAAATCATATGTTGCGTGTTCAATATCAAACTTCATATTTTTTGTATGTTTCAATTCCAAAGTACTTTCTATGCCATCATTCGGTTGATCCATTATATCATTCACTATCCAATCCTACCACAAAAATTTACCAAGATTCAGACAACTTGAGCTCAACGAAAAAAACCAAATTTTCTAGAGAAGCAACGCAACATCTCCTCTTTTTCAGACATAAACATGTAGAAAATCCAATCTAATTGCAAAAATATCATGAAAAGGAAAGTCAATAAATGAAGCGTAACCTTTATTATTGAAGACTAGTGGCAACCCGTTGATCGACCAAAGCAAGACGATGATTTTTTTTTTCCTTCCGAAATTTTTGGAGGAAGGAGATGCAGGATTTGGATTTTTTTTTCCTTCGAAATTTTCGGAGGAAGGAGATGCGGGAATTTCGTAGGAAGCGGGAGATTAGTTTCAGAGGAGAAGTGATAAAGTAGGGAATGGGGGAGCGCGGAAATTGTAAAACGCAAAGAAAATTACCTTGGTTTGCGTGAAATAATTTGAAAGCTTCTTGGCCGTTCTTGGCCGCAAGATCAATTTGAAAGGCTGTGATTAATTGATCCCTAGGCTCCGTTGGCAACAGCTCAGGAGAGAATCTGCTTCCAGTTACTAAATATACATCGAATATAGAAATACTTGGAAATTTAAAAGTACACAATTTTCAATCAATGAATAAATAAAAACACTATGATCTCATCTGATGTAAGCACACGCATACATATCAACTGGTTTGGTTTGTTTTTAACAAATGACATGATCTATTTCATTGCCAAATTACAATATATTGTAAGTGCATTGGGGGGAGCAGGATGCATGGGATTAACTGCTAATTAGAATGTCTTGTTGAGAGTACATCCTCCCCATGCCATGTGAACCAGAGCCACAACTAGTTAGGGTTCTGGTTTCAATGACATTATTATAGATGACAAACATGCATGCTTAAAGCTCAAGGTTTGGCCAACCTTTCAATGGCATTGGATCACGTGACCATCTGTTGTCGTCCTTACTTAAAGTGCACATGCCTCCCTTTCTGGACACCCTAATATACGTATCATCACTTTCTCTCAGACTTTATTCCCAAGCAGCATGCAGCTGGCCATGGCCTCTCATCGATCTGCATCTTGCCAAACGCCAATAATATTACAATCTCAGCAGATCTCCTGCCCTCTCAGCTGCTTCGCTTTTCATACCTTACACGTATCACTTTCCCATGATAAAACATGAAGCCTTGCATTCCAAGCCTGCCCTTCTTTTTTTCTTTTTTTTTTCATTGTTTTTAAGATTCCAACGTGGAGAAGAAGCATTTAACTTTTATCAATGCCTCAAAGTCCTCTGTTTTACCATGTCTTTATTCGTGTAGTTTAATTTCTTTACGAGTACTATATATCTTTATTCAATAACGCACCAAAAACTTTTCTAAATTTCCCTCTAGATATGAGATATGACAATTTGAAGCGTTACACATAGATGAGGTTCAAAGCGAAACATTACCAAAATATTTGGGACCTCAAATTTTAGGATTTGTTTTGATATATGACATACAAAAAATATTCTTTAATTGTCTTATGCACAGATGTTGTCATATGCTAATGTATAAATTTAAACTCAATCTAACAATATAAATATCTGTTTTGCAAATGAACATTGATGGGCGTTATATTTTGTTTATATACATAGGTGCTCATGATCCAGCCGGCATAAATGCAAATGTCATGTGTCTAGATTTACATGCATGCTTATGAATCAATTTTGTAAAAAAAGTCCAGCTGGGTAAAGTTGGATTGTACCCAGCAAAAGTGTTGCTCTCCTAGGCCTACCCAGTGTACCCACCTCGGCTTTAATTTATAAATGTTTATCCTCATCTAACTTTTGTGGCATGAACATATATTAGATTAGTAATCCTAACTACTCTACTGCTTCATTTCCGCTTAGGACCATGACATGAATACCATGGCCTTGTTACAATCACGCCAAAATATTTCTCAATATGTTGATTCCCTCGTGGTATAAAGTAAACTTTTGACACCAAGTTAGCTGGGCTTTTCTTTCATATAAAAACAATTTCAGTCGTTATTTCTGCAAGCAATAATATACAAGAACAATGGGTTAAATGTAACAGAGAGACTTGTGGATTTGCATAGAATAAAATCGTAGTGTTTGCTTGTGATTCAGGACTTCTCAACAGGTGAGGTGCATACGGCGCTGTTGGCTTATTTATCAAGTCCAATATTCAAGTGTCATATTTGGGTGTGACAGAGAAGGCATACATTATTTGCAAACCATCGTAACACGTGTATTTGCTTTCAAACTCATCCAGCAATAACCATATATATATATATATATATTAAGCATGCTCCATCATGCATGAATATTAAGCCCATGGTACCACTTTTTTGTATGAAAGTTGTGACCGTGGGTTTATTCCAAGTTTGCTGAGCACAAAGACAAATGAAGGAGAGGGACTTGAAAGGAGAACCAAAGAGTTGGGATCGTCTAATTTGGTATATAGTTGTAGACTTTGACTACATTCTTAGCTTTTAGCGAGCTCAGAATTTACAAAAGTGAAGAAACTTGAGATTACAATATAAAATTAATTAACAATATGGAGAGTAATTCAACTTATTTATAAATTCATACAAGGTCTCTCCTCCCATTAATATGGAATTCATACTCAATATGTCTTCTTTGTGTGGTGAATTTTCAAGCCTAGTAAGTGGACAACACAAACAGGGTGACATGGAGCACACGTGTGTTTTAGACTTCGCACATGGGACAACTTGCTCTGATACTATAAAGAAAATTGAGGTTCTACCATAAAACCAAATTGACAATATGAAGAGTAACCCAACTTACATTTAAACCTATGTAAGATCACTCCTCTCATTAATGTAGGGTTGATTCTTACCAAAATGTATGTAATTCTTTAGGGATTTCATGCATGCAGATCCCTTTGCCACTTTGAGTTACTCCTGTTAAGTCCTATCTTGAAGAGAATGACACAATTTCCTACTAGCTAATACTGTCGGCCGTGGATTATGCACATGGATTTTGGCTTAAGAACCACAAGAAAAAGGTGCTGCAACATGGCTTCGTTATCCCCATCCTCTATGATGCTTATAAGGGAAACATTACACGACATGAGTAATGTTCTCTTACTAGGTAAATATTTATTGATAAATTTGGGTTGCACATATTGACAAGCATCAACATAATCAGTTATATAGTTGCATTATCGAGTATCAGAACCATAGAAAATTTGGCGAAGAGACACTTTTCAATTAGATGGAATCAACATATTCAGTTATATATGTTATGTCTTTGGTTTATACCAGTACAATTGGAGGAGGAGTGAATACAAGACTTATGTGCAATATTTATGCTTTTAACAACTTGAGTGACAAGCCTGTTGTTTGATATGTTATGTTACGGTTGACAGACTACTGGAAGATATAGTATTTACTTCATCCTAGTTAGTCGCCTATTTATAATTTAATATGACACATTGGCTACCAAAACAACGTTACCATTAATTGCATGAACAGATGACCTGTAACTCATCATTAGATCGATGTTTAAGATTTGACAGCCTTTCATAAGCGTAAGCCTAACCTAAGTTGTGATTTCTTGACCTCGTATAAGGTCGTAGGCGTCCCTTCGGGGACATCGTATGGTAGGTTTTAGGGAACTTATTGCACCAAACTAAATCACTGCTTGCTGTTGGAGTGGCACGTCGATCGATCACATAAATCATATCGGATTATGTGGTATACCTTCTAAATTCCAAATATTAATAATTGATAGAATCATATGGTGCCGTCCTCAGCCTAATTTTTTTTAGAATTTGTGAGGTTGTTGTTGGGGTTTATAAGCCGGCATCCGACTAGATATGTCACCACAAGACATGATGGGCGCAAACTCATCAGGACAAATATTCTCACAGGCTTTCCAAACCTTCACATTGTTTTGCATATATATATGGTCCTACAACATCGCATACCAAAACACATTCAAATAGGCATGGACATGGTCACATTTTTGTATAGAACAAGTTTGGTCGACAGTCCCATCTATTCATGCATAATGCATTACACAATCCGACAACGACAAGAATTATCATGTACCAACCCATTGGTCTTTGTGATAAACAACCATTATGTTGACCTAATACGTAATTTATCAAATCGATAAATAAAGTTTCGGCACAGGAAGTTTTTGCAATTAATCTAATTAGGCTATGCAATTTTCAAATTAATGCAGAATTATTTTGTATAATGGCGATCTCAAATAAGATTAGTAATAGTTCCAATGGTTTTTAAATCTAATTTCATTTCTCAAATTAGTGGTCAATTATGCATCCTTGCCATTTCCTTGCCATTTCTTTATTTGGTGAATACATTCATTTTATTTGTTAGGAATTCAATTCCAATATTATTTAAAATTTTCATTTCTCAGATTGAAGATCAATTAATATCCGTGTCATGCTTAATTCTGGTAGAATATGCTTAATCTTATAATTTTTTTTGCTTGAGTACATCGATATTTTTACTCTAAGGAGATGGGAAGTTTGGCTAACCACACAAATGACAACCTAATTTGGTATCGAATTCGCTATCCACGGGATTTGGACCTAAGACATCTCATTTCCCATTGAAAAGGAATATCACCATACCGTAGTATGAGTGACAATTTTATAATTAGATTAAACAACTTTCTTACATGGCATCCACAAAGCTCCTTCCCAATGTGATCATAATTCATGACCGATACCTCTACGTTCTTGAAGAGTTTAAACAACTTTCTGGAAACTACAAACACTTCATATTATTTCAACTCACCAAGTTTCGAATGTGAGTTGAGCTTCCCTTCACCTTTTCATAGCGGGGGAAGATCTTTCAAATTGAAGTGTGGATTAAAAACTGGCCTCTTGCTTTTAGGATACATCTAAAAATCATTTGATTATCATATTTAGTATAACAAACATAAACTTCTTCTTAATTATGTTTGTTGTTTCTATTTGATTCATTTTTATATGATCACCAAAAAAAAAAGGTGTATAATTTCCCTATTTTAGGATAACAAACGCACACTTATGCTTAAGAGATAAAATCCAGTGAAAAATAATAATAAGAAATGAAAAGTGAAGTATAATTGGGAAAGCTTATGTTAGAAGACTCAACTTTTCCGTAGCAGCTGGTGTAATGCATTGGTCCATCGGTGCATTGGTCAACCTCTCAGTTTCTCACCAAAAAGTTGAACAAGTACTAAAATTTTGATAAGGATTTAACAAACCACTTGTTAATTCCTTGTTAAATCCACATCGTCCAAATTTGTCTCATGCTTTGCAAGTATGTAATTGTCTCGCATCTCAGCGGTACACATGTCGTCTACTTTGTCAAAAAACAGGAGCCTCAGCCACCAGAAGATGTTGACAAGACCCTTTTTCAATAGTATTTAATTTCTAAACATATCACCTTTAGCTGTAAAATATTGAACAGTACCGCTCTTTCTTTTTTATATTTTTAACATTATAATTTTACAGATTTCATACCAATTGGTCATTAGTATAAGGATTTTGGGAACCCTAAAAACAAAAAGCATTACAGTAGGACTAATCCTTTTTCTTTAACACGCTAATTAAGCTTATGGGTTTGACCCCACACACACACACACACACGCACCCTATACAAGAAAAAAAACAAGAAGATAAAGTCGGTTTCTTGGAAGCCACTCTAAGGGAGGCTGTGAGCTTATTTATGCACCTTTTGGATGATATTCTGGTTCACAATAATCCTTCAGGGTCAAGCCATCTCTTTTTTTATTCCCATATATTTTAAGCCCGAGTCTTTCTTTTTTTTTCCTTATTCATTTAAATTGTTCCAGATGTTATATTAGTTTAACATGGATTTTAATACATCTGTCTTCTATAAGTAGCTTCTTCTATAGGAACCAAAAACTTGAAGGAAAAAAATGGCAGATATGGCAAAGTACAAGGTGAGAAATGAATTGGGTTGTGGTTTTATGGGTGGGATTTTCCAGTGCAGAAGCTACTGGCCTAGAAAATCATCTGTTCATTCACTACCTTCCTCAAACACTAGCAAAAATGATTTCAATCTACCAGTCAGTGATGATTGTTCTTCAAAGTCTAATGAATCAAAGACCCAACCAACCAAACCCACACAGCGTAGTGCTACTGTAATCTCCTTGAATTTGGGTAAACCTTCTCCCAATTTCGACTTGGAACACGCCAGGAAGCCTAGCTTGGGCCATCCAAGCCCTTCAGCTTGCCACCAAAAGGTTCAACCAAGAAGACATTCAGATGCTGCAAGAAGCTCGACTTCTTCATCCAGTGGAGCAGGGCAGATCAAGGTGTCACAGCAGCATGACTTGGCGAAAGAGATGAAGCTACGAAGGGCGTCCACTGCTGGCTCTGCAGAGCTCAGTAAGAAGATCAGTGATCACCAGCAAACCAACGAAAGCAAAGCTGTAGTCCGAGCCACTTCAAGTAGCTTAATTTTTACAGGACAGGGGAGGAACCTGAGGCAGCCCGGCGTTACCAATCAGAGAGCAAGCAATAGTCCCAGTGCCATTTCAATCAAAACTCTGGCTTATCATCCTAGAAACGTAGAAGACTCGAGTTCCACACCTAACCGAAAACTAGGAAGCAATGTTGTGATGGGAATCATTGTGAGGAAAAACAGTGATGATTTTGGAGGCATGGCATTGAATAAGTTAGACCCTGAGGTGTTGAAGTCCATGGGGAACGAGGCATACAAGGAGGACAGATTTGAAGAGGCCTTGGCTTTGTATGATCGTGCAATTGCGTTGGATTCAAACAAGGCAGCGTACTATAGCAACAAGGGAGCAGCCTTGATTGGTTTAGGCCATCTCATTGAGGCGGTTTTCGAGTGTAAAGAAGCAATCCAGATTGAACCCTCTTACCACAAAGCTCATCATCGGTTGGCAACAACATATCTCAGGTAACATGTTTTCCTGCAAGACACAAATTTTACGTCTTTAATATCTTCACCGTGTTGTCTATTAAAACATTTGCTTACACATGAACATTAATCTGTCATTTAGACTGGGAAAAGCAGAGAAAGCATTGGATCACTACAAACACTCGGGTCCATACGCTAAATCGAAAGACGTTGACCAATGTCAGGTTCTTCAAAAATGCCTCAGCAGGTGCACTGAAGCTCAGAAATTACAAGAGTGGAATGTTTTGCTCAATGAAACCCAACTAGCAATTTCCTCAGGTGCCAATTCAGCTCCACAGGTAATTAGCTTTTTTATTTAGTCAATCCCTAGTTATGCCAAAGGTTAATTAATTTAATCTGTTAATCAAAATAATTAATATAAGGTTGTTTAACCATGAGTAGGTGTTTGCTCTACAAGCTGAGGCCTTGCTGAAGCTTCAAAGACAACAAGAGGCCTATGCCACCTACCAAAAACGACCCAGTTTTGGCATTGATATTTGCACCAAATTTTTTGGCATGGCTAGTAGTGCCTATCTGTTAATGATTGGAGCTCAGGTTTACTTGGCTGCTGGCAGGTTAGTTGATTTAAATTAATTAGTACGATTAATATAACATAGGATTTTAAATATATCCTGCATTGCATCACAAGTTAGGTTGGTCCCTATAATTTATTTGCATCCAACTTTATTTATCTGCATCCAGTAATTTAGTATTACTTTATCTTAGTTCAGATAAAATGTCAAGATTTTAACATCATAGAGCTACGGGGGTTGGCAGGTTTGAGGACGCGGTAGGTACAGCTACAAATGCAGCATGGCTCAATCCAGGTGACAAGAACGTCGGTATGGTGGTGAAGAGGGCTAGAGCTGTTGCGTCAGCCCGAGTGAGTGGTAACCTTCTCTTCAAGGCATCAAAGTTTTCGGAAGCGTGTGTAGTATATGGCCAAGGACTACAGCACGATCCACACAATTCGGTTTTACGATGCAATAGAGCAGCTTGTCGTTCTAAGCTTGGGCAATTTGAAAAGGCCATCGAAGATTGCAATGCAGCACTCGATCTGCAGCCTTCTTATAGCAAGGCCAGGCTGCGCCGCGCTGATTGCAACGCCAAGGTGAATTGTTATTACTTGAAAGCCTTTCGGCACAGAAAATTTCATGTGTGATAACCCTTTACTAATTAGTACGGTTCTTTTTGTTTTGTTCTATCTCAGTTGGAGAGGTGGGGAGCTTCAATTCCAGATTATGAGATGCTGATAAGGGAAACTCCTGGAGATGAGGAAGTTGGAAAGGCTTTGTTTGAAGCCAAAATCCAGCTCAAAAGACAACATGGCGAAGATATTGAAGACGCGAAATTCGGATCAAACTTGGTTCTTGTTTCCAGCAATGAGCGTTTCAGATACTTTGTGACATCCCCAGGTAGCTATATATTCTTCCCTATTTTCCAAATGCTCAGTGTTCTACTTTCTTCCTAACTAGATGAGAAAGAAGTTCACCAAACACCTCATTGTCTCACCAACAGGGATGTCTGTCGTGCTGTTTTGTAACAAAAGTAAACAAATGAAAGTGTTACAAGCCCTGCACCAAGTCTCCAAAAGATTCCCATCTGTTAATTTTCTCAAGGTTAGTTATTACTAAGATTATATGGGCAAAAGGAACGTTCACAGACATAACTTGTTGCAAACTTTTAATAGAAAGTAGAACTGGGGACACTAAACAAACAATAAGTTGTATATAAATTATGGTTTAGTGTAAAGGTGGGCATAGTCTGGTTTTGGCCGGGACCGGAAATCGCACTGATGGTGTCAGTTTGAGAATTCCTCGGGACCAAAACCAAACCGTTGATCCCATCAACCGACCTGGTCTACTTTTGAATATAAATTTGTAAATTTTATTTTTTTCACTACAAGTTTGTTACCGGTTCTATTTCTGCATATTTAATCAGCTTATATTAGTATTGTTCTTAATATTCAAAGTGATTTTTTTTAAATTCAGGTGGAGGTGGAAGACCATCCCTACATGGCCAAAATGGAGGATGTGAGCACAATCCCAGCATTCAAGATATACAAAAATGGATCAAGGGTCAAAGAAATTCCAGGCAAAAACCATGAACAATTAGAAAGCTCAGTCAAATTGTACAGCAGTTGATCAGGATAGTTAAATTAAACAGAAGATAAACAAAAATTACACTTAATATATGGTGACTGGCAGCAGAAACTTCACATCTTCCAAAAGAAGCCCACATGACAAACTCAATCCTTTGCGTGCAGTACACATAAAAAAAAGGATGGTAATCATAGATTAAATTTAAGGAATATGGAAATTTGAGTGGACTTGAATATTTATACCTTCGTGATTCCTTTATTTTTTTTCTTTTTGTTTTGCTTCTGTTATCCCATATGTTTGCACACCAACATGTCCCTGGTTAAAATGAATTGTGGTTTGATTAAAAGTAAGTGTTTAAGATTTGTACTCTGTTTGTGAACTTTGTTATTTTGAAAAAACATAAATTTATACAACCGAGAGTTGAGAAGAGTGGCAAATAAATAACGTCCAAACAAGCTTGGACCAAATGGATAACATGCATATAGAAAGAGTGGTCAAAATATAACAATAAGGTAAATTTTCAATTACATTATAGTATGCTTATCTATTAAGATTGACTTATTTTTAGGTAAAATCCACAAGGCAATGACAATGAAACAAAAAATAAAATGCATTTAGGAAGAGATAAAAACGTCTCGGTCGCGACAAATTTCGGTACAAATAGACAAATGCATATAAGGAGACAAGGATCAAAAAGTGACAATTTAGAAAAACTTAATAATTACATTGTACACTTTATATTGAAGATAGAACTTACTTATGCTAATGGATAAAATGCATAGAAAGAGTGACAAAAGGACATCAATTCTCTCTCAAAATTAAGAGCAGTTAAAGAACTAATGGATAAAATGCATAGAAAGAGTTAGGAATCCCTTTGAAGCCTGTCTTTTTGTTCATACTCTGTTTTGGAGTCTTGGTAGATTGTTCAAGCACTACAAGAGTATGGTGCCGCTCTGAGAATCCCTCCGCAGTTACTCAGAGTGCTGGTTGATATGATAGCTCATGCTTCTTGACCCTACAATTCTGACGAAATATCAGTTCTTTTTCTACTTGGAACATTCTCCTTGGTTTCAATACTCACCATCGCTAATCTAAAAATATCCGGCTAGTGCCGTATAGGTCTCAGCTAGTGCCGCATAGGTTCTGTCTAGGCATTCATCGCTCCGATTAATGTCTATACGTTTAAAAATTAAAAAATGATGCCTAGACCTGTTAAGGCGTCTGCCTAGACACCCGTTTTAGTCGCGAGTCACTTAGATAGAAAATAAGTAACTTTCATTTTGCATTTTATTTTTTCAATAAAGTGTAAGAAACTTGTTGCATACTTAAATTACACACATTATTTTCTTGTTCCCCATGTTTTCACTATGTTCCAATACATCATAATATATGTCTTTCTATTTTGTAGTTTATGATGAAATTATATATATTTTAAGTATAAGCATACATATTTATAGGAAATATAATAGATTTACTTAAATTCGTCTAACCCGTATATTCGCTAAGCACAGCCTGCCGCCTAACTTGGACCTAACGTCTTTTAAAACCTTGCTCACCACATAATATATCACGGTTAAATATGCATGGCTGAATTTTGGTAATATTAATCTAGCCGTTCAAAATCTGTGTAAGTAATAAATTCCGAAACACTCCAAATAAAAAGCAGACACATAAAAATAAAAATCACAAGTAATTTCTGATTTCTTAATTAAAAAGATATACATCAAGAAAATATAAAATGCTGGCATAACCCCTTTCCAGGAAAAAAAGGAGAAAGTTGTACCTGTAATAATCTAGAGCAACAAGAATGAAGCAAAAGTAATGCTCAAGGAGCTTGGAATTTACCAGTTTCCCACTGAATAATTCAGTGGACAAAACAGCTCACAAAAATAAAATAAAAAACAAATCAAAGCAGAAAATTAACAGAACCCAAAAACAAAAAGCATCATATCTTCCAACTTCGACTCCTGGAAATTGCTTCCTTCAATCCACCAACAACCCACGTCTCCTTTGCAATGTCTGATGAAATGTTGTAGAGATCAGAATCATATGCCCTCACCACCAAATTCTCCATCTTCTTTTTCTGCTTGTCTTCCTCCATTAAACTCCTCAGTGTAACTTTTGCTTGTTTCTCTTCCTTCTCCAACCCATTTTCTCCTCCTTCATCGTCGCCGTCTTCTTCTTCTTCGTCTTCTTCGTCGTCTTCTTCTTCTTCGTCTTCGTCGTCGTCTTCTTCTTCTTTCTCTTCTAGCCATGTTTTTGCAGGGGCGGACCTGCACCTCATTAGTAACAAAGCATTTGGCGGTGGAACGGCGGCTGCTGGAGCTTCAGAAGTTGATCCAATTCCGACGCCGTCATCGAAATTTGGCGTACAGTTTCTCTCCTTTTTGTCCTCTTTACAAAACCCATGACTCTGATTTTCCTGTAAAACCATAAACCATTTCGAAAACACAGTACTAGAGCTACTCTGGTCAGAACCGTCACTAATTCCCACACCACCCACATGGTTTTGTCGACCGTCTCTGTTTTCTTCCTCATCTTCTTCGTCTTCGTCTTCGTCGTCGTCGGAAGTAATATCGGATTCGTGAGGAAAAGAACCGAAACACCGAAAATCGAACCTGATACTTCTCAAGCAAGTCAAGAATTGCATGACTTCTTTCTTGAACCCGAAAGCCTCAGCCCAATTGGGTCTCCTCTGTTTCCTCTGTTTTTTGTTGTTGTGAATTCTCTCAATCTGTTCCATCACTGACTGCCAGCTTTTGCACGAGCCTGACTTGTGCCGGACTTTGATTTGTCCAGCACATGTGACTTTTGGGGACGTGGGCTCAGAGATCTCCGAACCCACGGACTTGGTCTTGGCCCACATCAGAGGACTAGCATGACCAAGACCGCTCCTCCCAATGCTCGACTTTTTTACGAGTTGATGCTGGTGGTGGTGGGGGTGGCGGCAGTTGGGCTCCGAGGGCCTTGCCGGACTGCAAATTGGCTTCGGCATGAGTTTTAGATTGGTTCTTGAAGGAAAACATACTAAGAGATCAGCTGAGAGTGCTCCTTTGGCCTCCCTTCGCTTCATATTTTGATTGTTTGTTGCTTTGCTACTTCAATTTTTCTCCCTTCTCTCTCTCTCTCTCTCTCTCTCTCTCTCTCTCTCCCCCTGTTTATGTTTCTCCTCTTTTTTTAAGATCTTGTGCTCTGCTTTGCTTTCTTGCTGAAATTGTGTGTTTTTTGGTTTTTGATGTGTGTTCTGGATGGGCTTTTAAAAGAAAGGAGGGATTTCTTCTAAAACAAAAACAAAAAAGAAAGGAGGGAGAGCTGGACAGCTTTCCTCCGCTTTTGCCTTTACTTGATGTATTTAACATCTCTGTCTTTCCTTTTTCTTCTTTTCCTAGTTCCTATTCTTTTTTTTGCAGTAATTGACATGACATCGACTAACAATCTACAGTATTTACCATATGATCAACATTTGAGAGATTATTCATGGATGTTACTAAACACCGGTCAAATATCAATCATATTGTAATAAACATGGACAAAGTATTCAAGTGTATCAAGTACTATAAATTAATATTCGCTATCATTTAAATTGATATCCAACATCATTTAAATTGGTATCTATTAAAATTTAATATTTTTCCTTCAATAAATATAAAAAAAAATTATGAGTTGTATTAAATACTATAAATTAATATTCGATATCACTAGTATTTTTCCATCAAACACTCTTTAATTGATCATTTTGTGACACTAGTTTTTGCACCCTTTGAAATGAGGTCACAAACATTGCTTCTTTCGTGGCCCTTACTTTTTCTCTATGCTTCCATAACATTTTCAAACTTTTTTTAAGAAAGGTGCATGGGAAAGTTAAAGGCCACGAGCCTTGTTTAATTATCCAATCATACAACCAACTTGTGAACCCATGCCCTATATTGCATTGCCGTGCCCACAAAAGCAAGTGAACAACTACCAAACAACTTCTCTTCATCTTCAATGGAACCCCACAAGAGTTGGAGAGGTCTTCTTATGTCATTCTTAGTGATTTCACACCCTTTCATTTTGATGGGATGTGTAAATAATTGCTTAGTGATTGAGTTAGTACTATGTCATTTAATAAAATCACTTGGTATAACTACCATTGTGATAGAGTCGAGCTAAAGAAAGATTGTTGTTCAGTTCATTCCTCTCACTTATTCACCTGCAAATCACAATGTGACACATTTACAAACATATCTCATGAAAAATTAGAAAATATATTTCTATAACCATGTCAAAGGAAAAGTCAAGAAATCATAGGTAGGTGATAGAAATGAAAAGAAAATATCACTCAAAATTTAAAACTATTTGCAAACACGTAGCCAAAATAGCTAAAACAAAATACTTAACCGTTTATATATTGAATATCACTCGAATAAGAAAAAATTAAGTAACATTTATAAGTTAAGATAAGATTGCTTCTTAATCTTCCAAAGTATTGAGAGACATTACCAAACTTACATTTTATTTTCTAATTTTCTATCCCTTCTCTCTCCAACTCTCTATAGGCAAACACAAGATAGTAGTGGCGGCTGGTGAGCTTTGAGAATATGAGCAATGCATTGTTTAACTGAATTTCATTCAGCTAGTAAACACGAGTTCAAATCTTCTGCACTTATTTTGTGTGTGGTCTTTTTGTAGCATTTATCATTGATTGACATGTGTTCATAAACTTGATCCTTCTTAACTCTGTTGTCATAAAATTAACACGTGTCAATTAATAATAGAAGTCACATAGGCAACACGCAAAATGAATAGAAGATTTGAAGTCAGTAAACCCAAGAGGGTTGTGAAAAGCAGAAAGAAATACTAGAAAAGAAATGATGGGATGCGCAGAGTTCATCATCAAAAAAGAGGAATGGGATTAGGCAAAGTGTGGATGTGATGATGAAGTGATAGCAATGCACTTGAGAGCTTGGAAAAAAGATGACCCCCTCTAACCACTACTTGCCTTAGGAATTTAGCATTAGACTTTACTTTTATTTGGGGCCTTCCATGCATGTATAGCCGAAAAAGGTCTCATACTCAAATCCATGTATTATATTACTCTCTTTTCCTTTTCGATTCACATTGATAGAGTATAAAATTCCATATCATTAATCCCAAGCCTTCAACTATAATATAAAATCATGTACCTCTCTATTGATTCCATACTAGTTGATTTTGACTTGGATGATAAGTTTTAGCATACGTTTAGAGTAATATACTTGATGTTAATTGATTTTGAATTGGATGCTCAAGTCTTAATATAGGTTCGTAGCAAGTAACTCTGCCACAAGTATTTTACTTCATTCAATAAAACTAGTTCACGTATTTGACTTAACTAATCACACAAGAGATCCCAAATGGTATATAAATTTTGTAATCAGGATGCAAGGCGGGGTAATATGAAAATGTAGCACCACTTAACATACATAGAAGCCAGTCAATTGATATTTGTCTGCACTTGATTGGAGAAGGTCTCAAGTTTATAGAATTGTTTTTCTAAGGTCCTCATTTGAGGACCTGCGAGGTTCTTTTGCACATGAGTCCTCAAATTAATCTTATTAGAGATTAAGCTATTAACTTAAATAATTCTTGTTGTATCTGAACATAATAATTCTTTGAAGTAATTAAATTAAAACAAAATTTCCGCATAAAATCTTTCATCTTCTTCCCTGCCGTCTTTCTTCTCCACATCCCCTTTCTTTCTCCATCTCTCTCTGGATTGTTCACTCTCCTCTCCTCCTAAGTTTTTTTTGTTTTCTTCGATGTGATTAACAAAATTCTAGCACAAAATCTTTTGTCTTCTTTCCCTACTGTCTTTCTCCTCCACAACCCATTCCTCTCTCCATCTCTCTCTTGATCATTCACTCCCCTTCTCTCCTCCTAAGTTTTTTGTTTTCTTCGATGTGATTAAATTAAAACAAAATTCTTACATAAAATCTGTCGTCTTCTTCCCCCATTGTCATTCTTCTCGACATCCCCTTCCTCTCTCCATCTCTTGCTCAATTGTTCACTCCCCTTCTCTCCTCCTAAGTTTTTTGCTTTTTTCCTTTTCGTGTATGAAAAAGGGAGAGGGACCCCTTTTTATATTTTTCACTATCATCAGAAAAATTCATATGAAAAAAGGGTTTACGCGTTTGAAAAAAAGGGGATGCCAATTTTCGAAAACAAACAATCTCAATTTTTTGGGTGCTTTGTAACTAACTGAGCTTGAATATTATTGATAAAAGATCGGATGAAATTGGATGCGTAAGTTATTATGGTTTTATGCTAACTGGATTTGTTGGGTTTAGATATTCAGCAAGGAGACTAGGTTTTTCATATAGAAGGGATTCGACATGAAGTGAAACGTTCTTCTCTCTTCTTGTTTTTTTGTTTTATCAATAGTATTTTGTTTCTTTGTAACAATAATTATTTAAGTTGATAAATTAAGCCATCATAAGATTAATCTGAGAGCTCATATAAAAAACCAAAGTCACAGGTTCTCAAAATAAGAACTTTAGGAGAGTAGCTCTCCTTAAGTTGAACTTGTATGGATGACAAAGATGATATATATTTTTGTGATAAGTTAAATACTTAGTTGTGGATGGTCCATATATGTTTAAGGTGCAAGTCTCAAACACTTTTGAGGTTTGATGTGCTGTCAAAGCTATAGCAATGAGTAGGATGATTTTCGTGACAGTATTTTCTAGTATGCACCTATACTCCGGGAGTCTTGGTCATTTAATCTTTTCGTTTCATTTTGCCTTGCGCTTATCAAACGCGGAATAGAACGTTATCCAGTTCCGTTCTGTGTGTACCAAACATAGCACGAAACCTCTATTCCATCCTATTTCGTTCAATCTCATTTCATCCCGTCTATGTACCAAACGCTCCTTAAATTCTCGTTCAAAATCTTTGGACGCACATCTAATCATAACATAGTTTTGGGTGAAGTGCCGATTTAGTCCCTAAATTATCACCTCAATGAAAATTAAGTCTCTGAATTGTTTTTTCGGTAAAATAAATCCCTAAATTCATTAAAATTGCTAATTTCATCCCTACTATTATATTCAAAGCTATTTTATCCAATTTTTATCAAAGTCACTCAACACACTTAAAGAGTGTCATACCGTCATTTTCTCGCTTATAAACCCTTAACATTTCATATAGGTTATGAATCTAACGTCTAATTTACCCTCCAAAGTAAACTTCATACACAATCTTTTTATGAAAAATTATCAATCTACCCTCCAATGTGTATTACATGCAAGTAACGTGACTTAAATTGACGGGAAATTAAATATAGTAGCTTCGAATCTAATATTAGGGATGTAATTGACATATTTCTATAATTCAAGGACTGATTTTTCTAAAATAATAGTTTAGGGACCTAATTTTCACTTGGTGATAATTCAGAGACTAAATTGACACTTTGCCCTATAGTTTTTGCATAAAGAGTCCTAGTGCTTGGTACACAAACATTTTTTTTGCACAAAAGCCAAAGCCCTTCGAAGGGAGAGAAACTTTCGTATCACATAATGCATACTCCAGGAATTGGATTTTCATAAGACCATGCGCACATGGATATTCATGGTATCATGTGATATTCTAAACCAATCTAATCTACGAACAAGTTTGAATTCGAGTACAAGGGAGCAAGCACACTACTTGACCAATCAACTAACCAACATTTACTACTAATCATGCTCACTTAATTGGTAATTTTCTGTTCATTTGATCCTTAAGTTAAGATAAAAAAGTTCAAAAAAAACAAAACAAAAGAAAAACATGCCGGCCAAGGAAATCTAGCCCAAGTCTAAAGTTAGCGAAAAATAATGGAGAAAGTAAAGGCACTATCTATGTTTGTTGACCTGTTTCTAATCTTATGCATCATTGAGAATTTGAGACGTGTAGGGTGAAGTGAACATGGATGGAGAAGTTGAGTTTTTAAAGTTGTGTGAGGTGGATGATGTCACCTTCTCGTTAACACAATGATTCCTCCTATATCACTAGCATTCTCAAACACAACGCAAACATGATTTATACCCTAATATTGAACTTTTATAAAATAATGAGATAGGTGAAACCGTGAAAGTTGAACGAAATAGTGACAAGGATTTGAACTCGGGTGCGTAGGAGGAACACATCCGCTTTAGATAACATCGACACTATAGGTTTATTTTACACCGAAATGTTTAAGTTATAGAGACGGTTTGAATTGTTATGATGGTCTATGAGCTTAAAAGAGGAGATTGATTTTGAAATGGTAAAGATGGATACCATATTGGTAAAAAGTAAAGCAATTAGGACTCTAAAAAGCTAGTAGTT